TCTTTTCCCTCGACCTATATCGATATGTTCTTCCATCCGATACTCCGTAATTTATCGTTCTCTATTGGGATAGTGGCCGTTTTATTTATTTTGAGCCGCGTGTCGGGTTTTCGTTGGAGTTCTCGAGTGGTCATAACAGTAACGCTTATCCTAACCATCCACATTGGTGTTATTCTGCAAAAGTCCCAGAAAAAAAAAGATTCATCCCCTATCTCAAATCGAACGTCGCATTCGAAGGGCGATGAACTTGGTTTCAAGGAATTGTGGCCAGGGCAGGACCCTGTGGTCGAGTAGGTGTAAATAGTCGAGCTTGCTGAATATCACTCTAAAAATACTGGTAGTATTGTCGCGATTCATGGACTTGATGGTCATAGAGAAGAGTCATGGACGGCAACTAATGGAATGATGTGGTTGAAGGACCTCTTGCCCCACGACATTCCGAACGCGCGAATTTTCACTTATGGATACGACTCGGATACGCGTAGTTTCACTCATACGTCGACTCAGAGTATTCTTCATCATGCCGAGACCTTTGTGGCGGACCTGACATTGGCAAGGAGCGGCAGTCCTGAGGTGAGTGAAGTTGACACCCATGATGAATAGAGCCTCATATTCGTTAAATTTAAGAGACCTATCATTTTCGTAGCGCATAGTCTAGGGGGTATAATCCTCAAGCAGGTTAGTGAGTAATTGGTCACAATGCACCTGCCAATAACGAAGAATTATCGAAAAGGCGCTTGCAATATGCCATGGATTGGGCTATAATTCGGATCACCGAAACATTAAAGTATCAACGTATGCTATTCTATTCTTTGGAACACCACACTCTGGCGCAAACGGCGTCGAAATCGCTCAATGGATGACAAAATTGCTGTCGATATACATGTTTACGGACGATACAATACTCAAAGATCTCAATCGGGACTCGAATCAGCTCCAAGGTATACAGAAACTTTATCTTAGTGCAAGTGAAGGCATCAAATCCATCTTTTTCTATGAAGCGCTTCCAACACCACTCATGAAAGGGGTTGCAGAGTTGGTATGTTTCGTGCATAAGATGATCTGCTCAAGCCCTCATTATCATATAGATTGTCCCACGCCAATTAGCCATCATAGATGGAGATCGTAACGCTGAGATGGTTAAACTGCACAGGAACCATTGCGATATGGTCAAATTTGGAGAAAGGCATCAAAGCGACTACCATAGGGTTGTTGGGTACCTTTCGAAATTTGT